TTTTAAAATGGCTTTCTCATGTTTTATTGAGCTGTTCTTTGTTGTTTCCATTTATTCTGTGCCACACTTCCGTATGTAGTAGTGCTAGTTTCCCTCTCTGTATAGCATTATGTTGCTAAATCAGTTATGGATTGCAAGCATGTACTTCAACTTCAGGGTTTTTAGATGAATAATGCTATGAAATTCCAGTGACTGAATATGATCTTGTAAGGTACCTTGCTGACTTAATTACAATTGTATTTTTAGGCTCGAAACCAAGTGGTGCTTTGGGACAAGGTCATGTTAAGAGGAGAGAACCCAAGGCTGTTCTTAAAAGACATGAAGTCAAAGTACTTTTTCTTTGATGATGGAAATGGTCTCAAGTAAGTAAATCCTTTTTTTATTATTATTATTCATGGTGTCTTGATTTATTTGCACGCTTTACATTTTATATGTGTTTTTATTGCTGTGGTAAGGTACCTATATTCTACCTGATATTCTGTCAGTCTATTGCATCCTTGTAGTTTGATTGTTAGAAGATGACCTTGGGATACAAGATAACCTGTTTCTTCTGTAGACTAGAAGATGCACTGCTAATACGAGCAATAGGCTTCTGGGTTCCTGCTTCCAATATTATTGTCTCTGTAGATTTGGTTCTGTGATGCACTCAACTTCAAAGGAGTTAGTAGCAGTAAAAAAAAAAAAAAGGTCTTATCTGGAAAATAGGTAAAACTTCATGAAGTAACTACATAAAATTAAAAAGCCCATTGTTTCTGGATCAGGAAAACAATTTGTATCCTAATATATTTAATATTAATAATTATTAATTAAATTGGTTAACTTGTGCTGATAGTCTTTGTTGCTTTTGCAGGGGAAACAAGAACGTCACTTTGACTCTCTCCTGGAATGTTGTCCCAAATGCTGGCATTCTACCTCTTGTTACAGGATCAGGACATGTGTCTGTACCTTTCCCAGATACCTATGAAACAAAAAAAAGTTATTAAATTATAATACTGAATCCTAAGCAAGATATTTTTATACTTGTATATTGTGAATAAATTTTATTGTGGTTTCTTCTCACATCCCATGCAACCCTTCAGTGCAACCCTTCAGTAAAGGTACTTAATTTCCTCAGGTCTAACAGCATAGGAAAAGGAAATGAAAGTTCAGGTTTTTTTCTTAAATGAAACATCGAAGGTGAAAACTAAGGGAAAGGTAAATTGCAGAGTAATGATTTTGGAGTGGGAAAATGAGGAATTTTTTTTTTTCTTTCTCCTGGCCATTTGGGTATAGATCTCCTTTTCTTTTAAATCATAGAATCATAGAATC